ATTGTTCGTCTAATTTTACTAAATAACTTATTCAAAATAATTATAAAACACTCAAAATTGTATGCTTGTACAAATCTATATATACATATATTTTTTTTTTTCGAATTGTGTTGACCAAAAGAATCGTTCCCATCGCTACCCCGAACACGTGTACGATACTTTTCCTGGAATTCGTTTGTTCCATGCCGCGAGCTCGAACGTCGTCCATACATGTTTCGCTACTAAATTTCCCGACCGACGAGAATCGCGGCGTTCGGCGTTAATAAAGCCACCGCTGTAAACCGGAACATGTAACGGAGGCCATTTAAAATTATAATTAACAACTGTTGTTGGCGTTACTAGTAAGGGGAAATCGAAACGCTTCGAGTTAACAGAGACGAATGAGCGACGTAAGTCTGCGGGCACCGCTATCAGTGGAAGGTATTAATATCGAAACTTTGCCCGACTCGGAATCGCCTCCGCTGGTTTTGCCAAGAGGATTAATAATCCGTTCGAATTAACGCGATTTATTCGTGTAACGGGCTCTCTTACCCCTGTCAGGCTCGGGATTAATTTTTTATTTGAGGTTACCGCCCGCGATAATATCGATTTCGTGCAATGGGAACGGAGAACCACTCGAATCGCGCGCGCCATGCGCCCGCGCATGCGCGTCTGCTCTCGCTGCGCGCGCATACGGCGTAACCTTTCCGTACTCTTTCGCTCGAAGTGCAGAAACGTTAGAAATTGAATGAAATTTGAGGCATTTAATGTACGAATTCGAAATTGATATGGAAAGTAACTATAATTATTGGTAGATGAGAGAGATTAAGAGTAGTGGGATCGTATAATATAATATTAATATTGTATTGTTTCTTGGAAGTATATTGGGGTTATTTTTTGCTTATGCATTACACATAACCTTTCTATATTCTTTCGTTTGATGTTATGGCCACACGATGGCGCTTTACGTTGGAGTACTGGTCGACCATAGGGGAACTCCCAATACACATAACCTTTTTGTATTCTTTTGATCGATGTTATGGTTTGAGTAAGACCACTATTAACATGAATATTTTCATCGATTTATTGTTACTTTAATAATACTTTAAGACTACATAGTGTAACTTTTAGAAAATTGTGGCGTGCATATGGCCGCAAGATGGCGATTTACGTTGGAGTACTGGTCGACCATAGGGGAACCTCCAAGTAGAGCTCGCCAGTCAGTCGCGGGGAATTCCCGTGCGTGTGTATTACTATCGAAACAGTTTTATATTCTATGGGACCACAAAAATAAAAAATGTAACATCATCGAGTACAGCGAACATTCTAGTTGTCGCGCGGGGAAGTCCCATTCGGATCGATCTCATAGATGGCGACACTGCATTCCTCAACAAAGTGCAGAAAAATTAGAATTAGAATGAAATTTGAAAAATTTAATGTACGAATTTAGAATTGATATGGGTAGTAACTATAATTATTGATATATAGAAGAGGTTAAGAGTAGAGGGATCGTATAATATGATATTAATATTGTATTATTTCTTCGAAGGGTTATTTGAAAAAATAAATATTTGATTCTATAATGGATGCACTATTCGATTATTTATAAGGCCTCTCTCAAAGAGTGTTTTACCTTTATCATATAGTTTACATTTAATGTTCCTTCCAGAATGGTACGTCATTTTGTATTATCACCATCGAACATTTTATGGCTTCCATAACCCTTTCAAATGTTCTTCACTTGGCATCTCTTTGTAATTATTTATTAAAACCCAATTTTGCTTTTTTAATTTTAATATTTTTTATTTTTATAAATAAATAAATAAACAAATATTTATTATCACCATCGAACATTTTATGGCTTCCATAACCCTTTTAAATGTTCTTCACTTGGCATCTCTTTGTAATTATTTATTAAAATCCAATTTTATTTTTTTAATTTTATTATTTTATTATTTTTAATTTTTATAAATAAATAAATAAACAAATATCTAGGTAGTTTCTATAATCCCAGTATTGAAATTTCTCCCACTGAAAAAAATTTGTAAAATATAATTTTTCCGCGGGAGATGAGTCCGAGGCGTCGTTTGATCGGGGTTCCCCCATCGATTTCGTCGCGTTTCGACAAATCTCGAGCCGTGGAAGAAAGTTTCGCGGCGCATTGGAGCGACGAAAGGCAACGGGGAAGGGTGGAAAGCAGAAACTCGTCGGTGTTGCGTTAATAGAGGACCGTGGTCCGGGGAAAGGAGTGCTCACGAAGTCCCAACGTAGACCAACGTATACAGGGTGTTCGACAACCCTGGGAAAGATTTTAATGGGGAATTCTAGAGGCCAAAATAAGACGAAAATCAAGAATACTAATTTGTTGATTGAGGCTTCGTTAAAAAGTTATTAACAGTTGCGTCTGTAGATGCGTAACCTGCGTACAGCTGCGTGCGCTGTTTCACAGGCGTAACTTTAAACTTTAATAACTTTTTAACGAAGCCTCAGTAAACAAATTAGTATTCTTGATTTTCGTCTTATTTTGGTCTCTAGAATCCCCAATTAAAATTTTTCCCAGGGTTGGCCGAACACCCTGTATATACGCCCACAGAAGAAGTGGAAACGGAGAGAGCCCTGATCTCGGTTTAACGAGCCTGTCTCCGCTAGTCTCGTCCGACGAAATCGATGCCACGGGAAACTTTTATTCTCCCCGTCTCAAAACCGCGAAACAAACTTCCCTGGCAAGCTCGACCAGGCGGAGGAAAAGCTCTTAGCGCCCCCCACCCCCCACCCCCCTCCCAAACGAGTAGCAGACGTTTCCTTGCGACAAAAAAATAAACTCGATTCGTCGATCCCTTTGTTCGGGGGCGTGGATATGTTGTCAATGTACACAGGGTGTTGGACCACCGCTGGGAAAAATTTTAAGGGGAGATTCTAAAGGCCAAAATAAGACGAAAATCAAGAATATTAATTTGTTGATTGAGGCTTTGGTAGAAAGTTATTAGCGTTTAAAGTTCCGTCTGCAGAACGGCAATCTGCGAACAGCTGCGTGCGCACGATGGTGGTTCTCACCATAGACGAGGTATAGGAGTAGAGACCTTACACCTCATGGACTTTCGTGGCCCAATCTGACTGCCATATTGGCGAAATTAAAAAATATCTAATCGTTCTGAAAAAATTATTTTTAGCTAAGGGGGTCAATAACAATCATTTTTGGTGAATAGACATACCCCCGAAATTTTACGCAGTCTCGAGAAAAAAATTCGAGTAGGTGCAAAAATTTTTCGTCGAAATTAAAAAATTTTAAATCGTTCTGAAAAAATTATTTTTACCTGGGGCCATCAATTGCAACGATTTTTGGTGAAGAGACATACCCCCGAAATCTTACGCAGTTTCGAGAAAAAAATTCTTTACCGAAAATACAATGTCTGACCATGAATGGTGATTCCCCTGAAATTCGGCAAAATTGAAAACTTTCAATTCGTTCTAAAAAAAATTATTTTCGGTTGCGAGGGTCAATTGCAATCATTTTTGGTCATTACATGTACCTTCGAAATCATGCGCGTTTTCGAGAAAAAAATTCCTTACCGAAAATGTAATTTATGGCCAGAAATGTTGCCCCAAAATTACATGCGAATCTTTAAAATGTCATAACTTCTGAACGGATTGGAGGATTTCAATGTTTAAAAAGGCAAATAACGCGTATTTTGGTGAAGAATATGTAGGAATTCCAAAAATGTTCGAAATGTTGTTCCTTGACCCTGTAAAATTAGGAAAACCCCATAAAAGTAGTCCAATTTTGAATCGACCATAACTCTTACAATAATGAATATATTTCAATGAAATTTATTTTTGAAGTAGAGCTAATGGATACCTACAAAAAAGTATTAAACAACATTTGCGTACAACGTCAAACAAATTTATTAAAAATCAAGAACGAATTTTTAAGAAAAATCGACAGGGGGGAAGTCCCTAAACTTTTCGGTGAAAATGAAAAGTTTCAAATCATTTTGGAAAAATTATTTTCGGTTGCGGGGGTCAATTCCAATCATTTTTGGTGAATAGACATACCACCAAAATCCTACTCAGTTTCGAGAAAAAAATTCGAGTATGTTGACAAATTTTTCGGTGAAACTAAAAAATTTCAAATCGGTCTAAAAAAATTATTTTTATCTAAGGAGGTTAATAACAATCATTTTTGATGGATAGACATACCCCCGAAATCCTACGTACTTTCGAGAAAAATATTCTTTACCGAGAAAAACATACTGGACTAAGTGTCTCACCCTGTATACTGTCGCAGTTTCCAGATAATTCGTTCGATCGAGTGGCTGAAATAATTCCTGTTCCGGTGTTTGTTTACGATTGTTCGTCGAATTACGTGGCTACCGATAATCGAATCGGGATTCTGTGCAAATATTGAAAAAAGGAACATGGTTGCGTCTGGGGGCTTCGAGAATCCCTCGAAAGAAAGTATCATTCGATACTTGCTATGTTTCGCGAAATAAACCTGGTCAGAATTTATTTATTCACTGATCTAATGAGGGAGGAATTTTTTATAACTAGGATATAACTAGAGATATAACTAGGTACACTATATTTTTATTGTATCATCTTCCACTGTATTTATTTTTCTATCCCTGAAAGTGTTCGATTATTATAAAATTTATTGACAAATGTTTACACTATATTTATATTGTATCATCTTCTATTTATTTTTATATTCCCTGGAAATGTTCAATTAATATGTTTTATTGCAAATATAAAACTGTTGAGGAATGCAGTGTCGCCATCTATGAGACGGATTCGAATGGGACTTCCCCGCTCAATGACTAGAACCTTCGCTGTACTCTTTTCATTTTGTAAAAGTTACACTATGTAGTCTTCAAGTACTATTAAAGTAATAATGAGTCTATGAATATATTCGTGTTAATAGTGGTCTTACCCAAACCATAACAAAAACCGTGAATAAATATTATTAAACTAATCCAGTGTGAAAATTAACACAACATGTAACTCTGAATTTTCTTTTGTTCCAGGTAAGTCCAGAGAAGCTCTTATACATAGACACAGGCTCGATTTGTAAGTAACATTTAAGAAAAAAATCCACTTTAAACACCACCAAAAAGGGGGGGGGCAATATTCAGGAATTTTTTAGACCACTTTAAAGACCAACAAAAAGGGGGGTTAATATTCAGGAATTTTAAGACCACTTTAAAGAGCACCAAAAAGGGCGGTTAATATTCAGTAATTTTAAGACCACTTTAAAGACCACCAAAAAGGGGGGTTAATATTCAGGAATTTTAAGACCATTTTAAAGATAATCAAAGAAAAAGTCAATATTCAGTAATTTTAAGACCACTTTAAAGACCATCAAAGAGAAGGTCACAATATTCAGGGATTTTAAGGCCACTTTAAAGACCATCAAAGAGAAGGTCAAAGTGTATTCAGGAATTGTAAAACCACTTTAAAAACCACCAATAAAAGGTCACAACATTCAGGAACTTGAAGACCACTTTAAAGACCAACTTAAAGACCACCAAAGAAAAGGTCACAATATTCAGGAACTTTAAGACCACTTCAAAGACCACCAAAGAAAAGATCACTATTCAGGATTTTTAAACCACTTTAAAGACTACCAAAGAAATGGTCAATATTCAGGAATTTTAAGACCACCAAAGAAAAGGTCAATATTCAGGAATTTTGAGACCACTTTTAAGACCATCGAAGAACAGGCCACAATATTCAGGGATTTTAAGGCCACTTTAAAGACCATCAAAGAGAAGGTCAATATTCAGGAATGTTAAGACCACTTTAATGACCACCAAAGAAAAGGTCACTCTTCAGGAATTTTAAGACCACTATTAAGACCATCAAAGAAAAGGTCAATATTCAGGAATGTTAAGACCACTTTAAAGACCAACTTAAAGACCACCAAAGAAAAGGTCACAATATTCAGGAACTTTAAGACCACTTCAAAGACCACCAAAGAAAAGGTCACTATTCAGGAATTTTTAAACCACTTTAAAGACTACCAAAGAAATGGTCAATATTCAGGAATTTTAAGACCACCAAAGAAAAGGTCAATATTCAGGAATTTTGAGACCACTTTTAAGACCATCGAAGAACAGGCCACAATATTCAGGGATTTTAAGGCCACTTTAAAGACCATCAAAGAGAAGGTCAATATTCAGGAATGTTAAGACCACTTTAATGACCACCAAAGAAAAGGTCACTCTTCAGGAATTTTAAGACCACTATTAAGACCATCAAAGAAAAGGTCAATATTCAGGAATGTTAAGACCACTTTAAAGACCAACTTAAAGACCACCAAAGAAAAGGTCACAATATTCAGGAACTTTAAGACCACTTCAAAGACCACCAAAGAAAAGGTCACTATTCAGGATTTTTAAACCACTTTAAAGACTACCAAAGAAATGGTCAATATTCAGGAATTTTAAGACCACCAAAGAAAAGGTCAATATTCAGGAATTTTGAGACCACTTTTAAGACCATCGAAGAACAGGCCACAATATTCAGGGATTTTAAGGCCACTTTAAAGACCATCAAAGAGAAGGTCAATATTCAGGAAAAGTTAAGACCACTTTAATGACCACCAAAGAAAAGGTCACTCTTCAGGAATTTTAAGACCACTATTAAGACCATCAAAGAAAAGGTCAATATTCAGGAATGTTAAGACCACTTTAAAGACCAACTTAAAGACCACCAAAGAAAAGGTCACAATATTCAGGAACTTTAAGACCACTTCAAAGACCACCAAAGAAAAGATCACTATTCAGGATTTTTAAACCACTTTAAAGACTACCAAAGAAATGGTCAATATTCAGGAATTTTAAGACCACCAAAGAAAAGGTCAATATTCAGGAATTTTGAGACCACTTTTAAGACCATCGAAGAACAGGTCACAATATTCAGGGATTTTAAGGCCACTTTAAAGACCATCAAAGAGAAGGTCAATATTCAGGAATGTTAAGACCACTTTAATGACCACCAAAGAAAAGGTCACTCTTCAGGAATTTTAAGACCACTATTAAGACCATCAAAGAAAAGGTCAATATTCAGGAATGTTAAGACCACTTTAAAGACCAACTTAAAGACCACCAAAGAAAAGGTCACAATATTCAGGAACTTTAAGACCACTTCAAAGACCACCAAAGAAAAGGTCACTATTCAGGATTTTTAAACCACTTTAAAGACTACCAAAGAAATGGTCAATATTCAGGAATTTTAAGACCACCAAAGAAAAGGTCAATATTCAGGAATTTTGAGACCACTTTTAAGACCATCGAAGAACAGGTCACAATATTCAGGGATTTTAAGGCCACTTTAAAGACCATCAAAGAGAAGGTCAATATTCAGGAATGTTAAGACCACTTTAATGACCACCAAAGAAAAGGTCACTCTTCAGGAATTTTAAGACCACTATTAAGACCATCAAAGAAAAGGTCAATATTCAGGAATGTTAAGACCACTTTAAAGACCAACTTAAAGACCACCAAAGAAAAGGTCACAATATTCAGGAACTTTAAGACCACTTCAAAGACCACCAAAGAAAAGGTCACTATTCAGGAATTTTTAAACCACTTTAAAGACTACCAAAGAAATGGTCAATATTCAGGAATTTTAAGACCACCAAAGAAAAGGTCAATATTCAGGAATTTTGAGACCACTTTTAAGACCATCGAAGAACAGGCCACAATATTCAGGGATTTTAAGGCCACTTTAAAGACCATCAAAGAGAAGGTCAATATTCAGGAATGTTAAGACCACTTTAATGACCACCAAAGAAAAGGTCACTCTTCAGGAATTTTAAGACCACTATTAAGACCATCAAAGAAAAGGTCAATATTCAGGAATGTTAAGACCACTTTAAAGACCAACTTAAAGACCACCAAAGAAAAGGTCACAATATTCAGGAACTTTAAGACCACTTCAAAGACCACCAAAGAAAAGGTCACTATTCAGGATTTTTAAACCACTTTAAAGACTACCAAAGAAATGGTCAATATTCAGGAATTTTAAGACCACCAAAGAAAAGGTCAATATTCAGGAATTTTGAGACCACTTTTAAGACCATCGAAGAACAGGTCACAATATTCAGGGATTTTAAGGCCACTTTAAAGACCATCAAAGAGAAGGTCAATAGTCAGGAATGTTAAGACCACTTTAATGACCACCAAAGAAAAGGTCACTCTTCAGGAATTTTAAGACCACTATTAAGACCATCAAAGAAAAGGTCAATATTCAGGAATGTTAAGACCACTTTAAAGACCAACTTAAAGACCACCAAAGAAAAGGTCACAATATTCAGGAACTTTAAGACCACTTCAAAGACCACCAAAGAAAAGGTCACTATTCAGGAATTTTTAAACCACTTTAAAGACTACCAAAGAAATGGTCAATATTCAGGAATTTTAAGACCACCAAAGAAAAGGTCAATATTCAGGAATTTTGAGACCACTTTTAAGACCATCGAAGAACAGGCCACAATATTCAGGGATTTTAAGGCCACTTTAAAGACCATCAAAGAGAAGGTCAATATTCAGGAATGTTAAGACCACTTTAATGACCACCAAAGAAAAGGTCACTCTTCAGGAATTTTAAGACCACTATTAAGACCATCAAAGAAAAGGTCAATATTCAGGAATGTTAAGACCACTTTAAAGACCAACTTAAAGACCACCAAAGAAAAGGTCACAATATTCAGGAACTTTAAGACCACTTCAAAGACCACCAAAGAAAAGGTCACTATTCAGGATTTTTAAACCACTTTAAAGACTACCAAAGAAATGGTCAATATTCAGGAATTTTAAGACCACCAAAGAAAAGGTCAATATTCAGGAATTTTGAGACCACTTTTAAGACCATCGAAGAACAGGCCACAATATTCAGGGATTTTAAGGCCACTTTAAAGACCATCAAAGAGAAGGTCAATATTCAGGAAAAGTTAAGACCACTTTAATGACCACCAAAGAAAAGGTCACTCTTCAGGAATTTTAAGACCACTATTAAGACCATCAAAGAAAAGGTCAATATTCAGGAATGTTAAGACCACTTTAAAGACCAACTTAAAGACCACCAAAGAAAAGGTCACAATATTCAGGAACTTTAAGACCACTTCAAAGACCACCAAAGAAAAGATCACTATTCAGGATTTTTAAACCACTTTAAAGACTACCAAAGAAATGGTCAATATTCAGGAATTTTAAGACCACCAAAGAAAAGGTCAATATTCAGGAATTTTGAGACCACTTTTAAGACCATCGAAGAACAGGTCACAATATTCAGGGATTTTAAGGCCACTTTAAAGACCATCAAAGAGAAGGTCAATATTCAGGAATGTTAAGACCACTTTAATGACCACCAAAGAAAAGGTCACTCTTCAGGAATTTTAAGACCACTATTAAGACCATCAAAGAAAAGGTCAATATTCAGGAATGTTAAGACCACTTTAAAGACCAACTTAAAGACCACCAAAGAAAAGGTCACAATATTCAGGAACTTTAAGACCACTTCAAAGACCACCAAAGAAAAGGTCACTATTCAGGATTTTTAAACCACTTTAAAGACTACCAAAGAAATGGTCAATATTCAGGAATTTTAAGACCACCAAAGAAAAGGTCAATATTCAGGAATTTTGAGACCACTTTTAAGACCATCGAAGAACAGGTCACAATATTCAGGGATTTTAAGGCCACTTTAAAAACCATCAAAGAGAAGGTCAATATTCAGGAATGTTAAGACCACTTTAATGACCACCAAAGAAAAGGTCACTCTTCAGGAATTTTAAGACCATTATTAAGACCATCAAAGAAAAGGTCAATATTCAGGAATGTTAAGACCACTTTAAAGACCAACTTAAAGACCACCAAAGAAAAGGTCACAATATTCAGGAACTTTAAGACCACTTCAAAGACCACCAAAGAAAAGGTCACTATTCAGGAATTTTTAAACCACTTTAAAGACTACCAAAGAAATGGTCAATATTCAGGAATTTTAAGACCACCAAAGAAAAGGTCAATATTCAGGAATTTTGAGACCACTTTTAAGACCATCGAAGAACAGGTCACAATATTCAGGGATTTTAAGGCCACTTTAAAGACCATCAAAGAGAAGGTCAATATTCAGGAATGTTAAGACCACTTTAATGACCACCAAAGAAAAGGTCACTCTTCAGGAATTTTAAGACCACTATAAGACCACCAAAGATATGGCCACAATATTCAGGTATTTTAAGACCACTTTTTAAGACCACCAAAGAAAAGGTGAAGTACCTTCGAATGCGACACACACATTGCATAAAATAGTTTTCCAAGTGAGGGGTGGGGGGATGAATCGTTAAATACAGAGTTATTTCAGGTGGCAATTGACTTGTTCCACCTGTACAAAAGCAGCTTCCGGCTCGAGCGCTTTCGCTGTTGTAAAAATCGCGAGATTCAACGACTTGTTCAACTCCCGTCTACTTTCACGATCCGCGCGAGGCGTTAAACGACTTTAAACACCCGTTCGAATCGATGCAACGATTAACCCATTCTATCGCGTAGAGCTTTAACGAGCAATCGGAACTACCCCTCGGCACCGATTCATCCGAGGATTCGCGCCTGGAGTTTCCGGAATTCTTCTTTCTTACGGCGTCGCTCGGGACAATCGATTCCCTCGAAGAATTCCTCGAACGTCTCCAGCGCGCTACAGGTTGCGTCAATTATTTCGAGATTGATTCAATCTTTCTTTTTTTTTTAAATGTAGTGCGAATGATGTTTGTATTGAAAATTTTTATATAATTAAATATGAGGAGATTTAGTATATCAACAGTACACATGTCCTTTTGAACTTTACATAACCACAAAAAAGCAAATATTATAGTTCGATTATATTTTTGAATATTTTGAGTCACGTTTCTAAAAATAAAAAGCAAATATTAATGTCTCTATTTCTTTATTAATATCTTATTTTTATGTAGTTTTTAATATTTGTTAATCACCAACCTAAAAAAAAAAAAACAAATAATTGAAGTCTGTGTTCTTTTATTATAATAAGTTGCTAATTGTAGACTTCAGGTTTCTGATTACACACTGTACAACGTTTTTTTAAACTATACAAAAGCTCAAAAAACCAAATGCTTGTTAGAAGTAAAGCGCCATTTGTTTCTGCGCCATCTAGAGTTATTCCGACTTACTACTTTATGTACAGATTTAATATTTAACAAAATTGACAGTGAAAGTCCACTGATTTCACTGATGCAAATAATATGTGTTTTGAAAATTCATAAATAATTAAATATAAGGAAATTTATTATTTTAATTTTACATTGACTGTCTCTATAAATAAAAATATTGATGCAAATTTAATTATAATTTCGTCAAAAATTCGTTTCTAAATAAATATGAATAGAATTTACAATATAAAAAATTAGCTCTCAAGCTGAAACGTTAAAAAAAAATCAAAATTGAACAGAATTCATGAATTTAAATAAATTAAATTTGCAAAAATAAATACTAAGACGAATTTTAATTTATATAGTTATAAATAATACAT